TATAACAATATCCATACTCACAATAAGGTTCACTGCATAAATTAGGCACAGATGGGAAGGGGACCAGGAAGTCGCAAGACCGGGGGAGGGGAGTAAAATCACTCAAGATGCGACAGGCATAGGCACGTGGACCGACCCCCAAGGCACATGTACTACTGTGTATCAGAAATATACACCAGTACAAAGAGAAAAAGTTTCAAGAAGAGTTCTATGTCCATTGTTATATTAATGAATTAAAAATTAAGACAAAAATTAAACTAGGGACTGTAAGAGATTGTGATAATAACGAAAACAGAATTATGAATAGGACCATAAAATGGGGCATTGTTAAGTAAAAATGGGGGTTCCTCCAGCACAGGCTCCGCAGTAACATGATTCCCCATCTAGTAACCAAACGTGTATCTGTCCAATATGCTGAGGCCTTTATTTCCCTACTTACAAGTAACCCAGATAACAGGCAAATCTGTCACATTTTTAGTGGGGGTCACTCCATACATCAGTATGAAATTGGTTTTATACTGACACGAAGTTCAAAGTCAGATGCTAATGTAGTTCCAACAGGATTTCGAGTGAGCAAGCATTTCTCCCAAGTCTGTGGACAGGGCTACCAAGGATTCCAGGGGCTCAGGAGGTACATCTTAGTTACAAGCTTAGCTGGTCTCAACACTGGCCGCCAGCCCCCAGGAGGAAGGGAAATCTGCTGTCATCCCCCAAGAACCCTCTCGAGGCTCAGATACCGAACAGCCAGTCAATGCACTTAGATGAGCAGCTACTACAGCAGATTAACCTGGAGTTACTACTGCAGCAGCCTGAAAGAACGGAAGGTGAGTATGACAGACCATGAATGTTCCAGCCCGTTATGCTCAGGCCCGGCTTATGCAATGATTTAGCTCAAAATTATGCTGAACAGCTCAATTCTATTTGCAACACCTTTGCCAACACAGACAGGATCAACAGACATATGGACCGTGGACTCAACCTAAACTCAAAACAGGCTGCGTGTTTGAGGTAATTTATTAGGGAAACTGTAATTACCTTACTAATCTGAGTACTTGTTCATTTTATAAAACACTCACCTTCACAAACATCTTCAATATCTATAGTGGCAAATGGCAGGCTGATCAGTGAATCCGCGGTGCTGACAGCACAGTCCTGGGTTGCGTCCTCTTCTCCACACCTACTGTCACACATGCTGGAATTCGGTGCCCCTTTGACACATGCCACAGAGAAAAAGACATCATTTAACTTGCCGTGCTTCAAAACTTACATCCAAAACCAAAGCAATTCAACTCACCAAACTCATCTTAGCACCTAGTAGGCGGTACTTCCATACTTATGCAGGCAGCTCTTATGCCCTATTCTGTATTCTGGGTGCATTTTTACATTAGTTAACCAGCTTCTAAAACTTTAGTCATGTTCTAACGCACGGTAACTGCAAGTTAATTGAAGGCAGAGTCAACCAACAAACCTCAACTTTTTCTTTTTAAATATTTATTTATTACATTTATTTATTGTGCGTGTGTGTGTGTGTGTGTGTGGCCAGCTCAGCCCACCAGGGGGCGGGGCTGGCTGGCATGTGGTGCGGGGGGATCGAACCGCGGTCCCTGTGCTTTGCCAAGCTTGTTTCAAGTAGGTGCTTTAGACCACTGAGCCATCTCTCCAGCCCCCTCAACTTTTTTAGAACTACCTTTCTTTAATTCTAAAACTACACTGGGGGTGGGGGGCGCTGAGCGTGGTGGGGCACACCTGTAGTCCCAATACTCAAGAGGCTGAAGCAGGAGGATTTAAATTAACTAAATAACACTATTTTTTTTTTCTTTTGAGCTAGCCTTGAACTCCCAATGATCCTCCTGCCTCAGCCTCCCAAACACTGGGATTATAGGTATGTGCCACCATGCCCCGCTATACTACATTTTTCACCTATCTTTTGAAAACAAACACATCAAGCTTAATCTTTTCATGTCTGTTTCTAATATCATATATGCATGCTCATCTGCATAGGTTCTAACCTTCATTTTTTTCCTCCATAATGACTTTTCAATTGTTTCTCCCCTCATTACATATCACAGTGGGAACTCAGGTAAATACAGCATACATGGCTCTAAATATCCATTTTTGGAAGTTCAAGTGCAAGAACCAAATGGCCTTACAGTTCCCGTAACAGCTGCCCACAGCCACACACTAACGTGAACTCCGACTTCGGTCCCTGTTTTCTTACCAGGGGCAGGCAGACCACATACATCCTGGACAGCCAGGAGGACTCCTGAAATGTTGCTGCGAACTGTGTCAGGCTGTCAGGCGCAGCCTCTGCACACCTTTAGTGACAGACACAGGCGTCACCTGCACAGGGTCCTAGGGTACTTACACAATCTACGTCTATTTACTGAAAACTAATCTATTGTTAAGCTATTAAAGAAATCACTAATTTCCTTTTGTTACAGCTCTCAGATTTTGAATACAATCCCTGCAACACATCCCATTCAGAATATGGTCTACAACATACAATACAGTAACTATCAAATTAGGTCCCAGTTGACATGTATGCCAAATCTTGGTGTGTTTATTGCCGTTTCAGTCATCTCGACTATTATAAACACACATTCTTGTTTTCTGGGTAAAAGAACAGTAAAAAACTTTAAAAAATCACTCAAGTTCAACATTAAAAAACAATACATTCTTAAGAACAGTTTTTTGTTTTTTGGTTTGGGGGAGTTGTAGGGGGTTTGGTTTTGCTTTGTTTTTTGAGACAGGGTCTCACTGTGCAATTGAACTGGCCTTGAACTCAGCAGGGAGCCCAGGCTGGCCCTGAGCCCATGGTGATCCTCCTGCTTCAGCCTCTTCAATGTTGGGATTAAAGAGTGCATCACCACACCCTCGGCTCCTTATTTCATTCTTAATCCAAGCATTGGGAGACAAGAAGTTGCCCATTTAACACTGGTATCTCAATACTAGTTCTTAAATCTGTGCACCAAACTACAGATGATTTATGACTCAGAAAAGATGGATTTAGGATTGTTCAGCTGCACGATGGTATAAAAAGCAATGTGTGTCCAGTAGAAACCACACTTGGGATTTTGAATTCTGACTTTTTTTCTGGCGAGTGAGGGAGAGAAATAGAGCGATCCTACGGTAAACCACAGCTTCCAGGCAGGAAAAAGCTAAAGAAAATTCTAGCACTCCAGGAAGCTGAGGCAGGAGGGTCTTGAGTTGAGGGCTGCCTGGAACAGTGTATCAAAAAAAGGGGAGGAGAGGGACTGTATAAGGGGACAGTTGTATATACAAGTCTGCCAGAAACATTCCCCAACAACTATCAGCAAACGCCAAGGCCTGCCCCTCTAACTACTGAAGGAGCCACAGGTAAGGCCACAGCCTTAATCCCAAGGCTGCGCATTTGCAGCTGAGGGATGATGACGCGTTAGCAATCTCCTGCCTGTAATCCCAGCACTCCGGAGGCTGAAGCAGGAAGGCCACCTGGCTCCACAGTGAACTGAAGGCCAGCGCCTGACCTAGTCTCAAAAAACCAGCCAATCGAAGGGATCTCCATCTTCTCTTCTACAGATCCCTGCACTGTATATTAAAAATGCATCTCCAGAACGTACCCCTGGACCCCCTCCCGCGCCAGGCCCCAGGCCGCAGGCCGCAGGCCCCAGGCCTCAGGCCTGACCCTTGAGCTCGCGAGACCACTGCAAAGCCCTGCCCTGCGCCGCGCCTGTGTGCGCCCTCTGCCGCGTTCTTTGCTTCCCAGGCGTTACAACGTAAGGCTGCAGAGCAGCGCTTCCCAGGCGGCTCGGGCCGGAAGGCCCGACTCCCGGCCCGAGCTGGGGTGCAGGGCACGGCAGTCTCAGCAGCAAGGAAGAGCCTCTCCGAGTCTGGTTTGCCGGGATCACAGGGAAAACGAAAGTGAAACCCGAGGCGGGGCGTCCCGCTCCCGCCCGAGGCCTACGCGCGGCCCCGGCCCGGCCCCGCCGCTCACCGGCTCCGGGGCTCCACGGCGGCGGCACGCG